GTATAATCATATACCTAGTTGTAGATTTTTTCTGATCTAGATTTTCTCCGCATTCGACATTAACCGGTTAATAAAAAGTATTTGACATTGTCTTATAAAACATCAAACAACAAGCCATAATCCTTAATACTCTTGAAAACCCTGAAATTTATTTCACTACTTCCAAATGAATTTTTTTCTAGATTTGACCTGTATTAGTCACCTTGCCCATTGCTAGAGTAATATCAAGACTTGTGCATATGATCAAATACATGAGCTTTAACTTTTGACTAATTCTTGCATCTATCAACATCAGATTGATTTTTTGTCAAGATGATTACGTCATCTAGTAATATTATTTGATATAGATATAAGAATGAAGATCTCATTATTTACTTTTTTCATGTAAAAATAAGAATCATACACACTCCGTGAAAACTTTTGTGTCTTCATGAACTCATCAAAACATGTATTTCATTGTCTAGGAGCAATTTACAAACCAAACTATCATAACCTATAAGACCGGTTGTTATATGTATGAAATAATTTAAAAAATAGTCAAAGTTTTAATCATGGTTAGCTTAGATATAACTAAGTTTAGCTAGTTGTGACTAAGTCTAGCTAGTTATAACTAATTTATATAATTATGATTATGTTTAGCTATGATGTCTATACTTGGCAAAATAATTATGGGAGTTCTGGAAGATTTGAGTGAGTATTACTATTTTGTTTGTTACAAAAATCTAGATTCCAAGATAAAAGACTTTTGACTACATGATTAGTTTTGATTGGTTTGACTAAGTTATGGAAACTTCATTGTTGACAGTAAGTCAACAGCTGACGTAATGAAAAGTGTAGGTTCTAGAAGTTTGAAAGTCTCAAATGACATGTTACCAACTTAACCAATGGATTAGAAAACTTCTAGAACTTTTAGATAGACAAATGACAGGTTGACATTGATCTATCTAATTTAGTCAAATCTACCATGATTTATCCTGGTAAAAGTAAGTTATGAGGTAATTATCATGTGTTACTATGGTAATTACTCAAGAAGTATATTTGTAGAGATTGAAAAGAGTCTCTGAAGCAAGTTCTAAGAGTTTATTGTGTAATACTTGTTTCATTCAAGTGAGTTTGAGTTTCATTATGCTTTAGAGTATTGATGAGTGTTTGCAATTGAATGATGGATTGAGAGTTTATGTGAAAGGGTGTTTGGTACACTGCCACATTGAAGATCCCAAAACCTAGAACCATGTGGAGCTATCAAAAAGCCATCTTAGGTCAATTTGAGTTAGAGTTAGCCCAAAAATCACATTTTTGACTTCATTACCGAGATCTCAATTTAGAAAGAAATTGTTTAGGATTTGGACTTTTGTGCAAAAAAAGATGACAATGAGAAAATAACAATGACAACCTCGTCATTAAGTGATGTTACTTCTGTCATAATGAAGCAGTGTAGGTTATAACATCTAATACGATGTCGAGAGCAAGCTCAAGAGATGGAGAGTTTTCTTCTCATTCGATACCTTCTGGCCAAGATTTTACAGATATATCACAAGATCACGAAAGACGTCGATGTGATCTTGGATTTTAGTACCAGATCTTTCATCTTGAAGCTCATAAGGTTTAAGAAGGTGTACAACTTGTTCGACAGTTCCATGTGATGAAAACGTCTTCGAAGAGCCTCAAACCCTGCTCGTCTCATAACCTAATCCTTTGGTCTATCTGGCTGCCATCTCTATCAAATGAAAGCTGAAAGTTGTGACAGTTTATCCCTTTTTGCTTACTTCTAATCTTTACAAGGATATCCAAATAAACAAAGATACTATGAAAAAATATTCTATTTAGAGAAAACATTATGTCAAAGAGAATGTTTTGTAAGAAAAAAATATTTTCACTAACAAAATATAATCATTGGATACTTCCAAATATGATCAAATTCTCCCGGATGTTTGTGATGTCACTTGAATGCATATCCGTCATATGGCAGACAACCGCAAATTCATGTGTCGTAGCAAGACCAACACGTCCATTTGTGTCTGCAGTTGCTTGCGCAATGTATCAGAGTTGTCCCTCTAAACGGGCATGTCTGTTTTCTTATCCATCAATTGACAGAAAAATTGATTGATTGACAGAACAATGATTCTTCATAAACGGTGTATCTTTGTCATACTCGGGTCTTTTTTTCTAAAAATTCATCCATAGATTATATGTTCATGTTGATCATTTTTTGAATATGACTGACTTTGAGTCATATTTAGTGACATATCAAAATAGAGTATGAAGTAGATGTTAGCATCATATTTTTTTGATATAAATCATTATTCAACAAAACATTTACAACTTTGCGGTAAGTGATTGTAAGCTGGTTTAGAAAAAGCAACACACATAACAAAGATTAATTTGAAACAAGTAGTGTGTTCAAAAATTGTAGGTTTTTTCCATATTTTTTTATCTCCTTTTATGATTTTGAAAATGAATAACAAAATCATAATGTGCCAAAAACTTTTATCTTGAAGCTCATAAGTTTCAAGAAGTCCTACAACATATTTGATAATTTTTTGCAATGCAATCGTTCAAAAGACTCAAATAATAGATTACACTCATCATACTCATATCATTGCTTCAAAATCAAAGTATGAAATGTAGTATGAATTTTCTCTTGGTGAGATTTTGAAGATTGCTTCAATTGTTGTTATTATAAATGGAATGTTTGGAAGTTTATTTTCTTTCTTAATATTAGCTATAGTCTTCAACTTGTGCTCTATATGTCTTGCTATAACGGAAAATTTGAGAATCATCAACGCAGATGTAGAGACAGATATAACGTGGTTCATCCTCAAGGAAGGAGAGCTACATTCACCATGAACACCGATACACCTTTTACTCAAGGTCTGTCGAGAACGACAGAATGTAGAAGGCAGAGTTCAAGGTATTTAACCTTTGGTCCAGGAAACGTCTCAGCTATAAATAGCTAGGTCCAGAGGTTATTCCTTAACAAGATTTAACCTCAACAATTACATCATAGATTATCATCACATCCATGGTAATTTATTATCTCAAATAGTGCTTCATTAGACTTTGTCGCCGCCGTCTCATTCCGCCAAAATAATTAAAGTTGTTACTTATTTCATTAGAGCAAGTGTGACTTTTTTTCACTTGTATGAAACTTTCAAATTTGTACATTGTTTGTGAACTTCGTTAGAATGAAGATTACAATTAATTTGAAGTATGTGTGAGACTTGGTGAATATTGCAAGAAATCTTAGGTTATAGATGACATATAGGAGACAAGATAAAGCTACCTACTAGTATTCATTTGCCACCCTTCAATATTATTTAGAAATTTTCTTTCGCTAGCCATTTAGACTAAAATTTTTTTCTGCCTTGAACTTACGATTGACGTGACGGCGATTGCGTTTCTATCTTGCAACGAGTTTGCCATTTTGGCTGTGGCCTCTTCTTTTGTCTTCCTTTCTTGTATGCAAGAATTAAAACATCTCCGTTTCAAAATCAATTGCAACCTCAAATAAGACATATTTTTGCGCATCACTTTAATCAACCAAAATTACATAATTCTTTACGGGTAGAAAAAAGATGAAGCAATCAATCCTTTTTTATCTAACTTTTTCATCTTTTAAACTATGTTTATCTTGTTAAATATTCATAAATTTCATTATTCTTCAAGAGCCAACCAATCAAAGACTCAAGTCCAAAGTTTTAAGATATCAAATTAAAAACTTCATCATTTTTCAATCTTTCTCTTAAGACTACAATCACTTACTCTTCATCCACGGATCAGATTTTGTAGTTAACATTTATTATTTTCAACAAAGCGTTGAGGATTGAGAGCATAGTGTCTCTAGCTTGGAGGGTAGTTCTTGCTTGCAAGAAAACAATTGAAAAATTACAACATGGAAAATATGGTCAATTTTATCAAAATTGAATCTTGACAATTCAAATGGGCTTGGTTATGGAACTCTAAAACCAAATGAAAAAAATTTCAAAATGTTTGATTTGACTTTGTTTCAAATGTCAATCATCTTTCCACCAATTTCATTCTTAAAATCCTCTCCTTGAATCTGCATTGAGTCAATCTTCCCTATGCATTACAATTTGCAAGCCAAAGTGTTCACTATCATGAGCAGATGCAAACAGCTCCTACGGTTGTATAATGGTAGCCCGGCTACCCCATGCACTTTTCAATGCATAAGAGTAGGCTTAGATCATGAACATTACTTGATGAATGTAATAGTTAGTACTCGATTATCACCACAAAAATTCAATCAACGAACTTATTGTGATATGTTCACAGTTTTGAATTCTGAAGAAGAACATCGTCACATGCTCGCTCCAATTCTGTGACGAGCAGTTTCAATGACCATATTTAAGATCTCTTTGTACCAACAACTGAATTTTTTTTAGTTCAAGTATGCATAACGTATAGTAACATCCATGCATAAGTATCATAATTATAAAAATCCATGAATTTAATGATATTTAATCGTTTAGATAATAACTAATTTATATTGTTTTAATGCATCTATTTATTTGTATTTTTTGGCAACAGTCAGTGCGACTTCTTTCCTTGACTGTTGCCATATTTCTCGTGCGCCGATGCTGGGTCCACTCTCAAATTTCACGAAGACCGTGTTCCTCCTTCTCGGGTTTACTCGTCCAATGTGAGAGGGAGGTGGAAATCAATTCCTGTATACGTATGAGATAACGATGTGAGATTTGCCGATTCAACTCAACTAAACTTGACGTGCATTATTTCCGTGGATTGAGGATGCAGATTGCGCTCCGAGCTGGATGTTTGAAATTGGGCGGGCATATCTTGCCATCATAAAGAAGAAGAGTTTCGGAAGACTTTCCAACACAGTGGAGCCAGTTGTGTAACCACAGTGCCTCATTGATGCATATGAGATGACACATGGCGATTTATGCAGGATGATTCAACACTCTCGAGTCAAGAAAGAAGTTCTGCAAAATGGAAATTTCTGACGCACCAGAAAAACAATCTGAGGGAGACGTAAAAGATGGAATACTTTTACATACAGGAGCGCAAGAAAACATCATCTTTGGATTTCAAAAAGATTAATTGACATAGCCCCAAGCCGAGCAAGAATTTCCTCGAACATTGGACGGCCACTTGGATCTTTCAGCCAGCAGTCCTCAACCAGTTGCTTATAAGTGTGAGGACAGCTCTCCGGTATTGCAGGCCTCTCTCCTCGATCAATCGCCCTCATGATCTGCGCCGATATGATATAAATACCTCAGAGAAAGGTTTTAAGCTAAAGAAGGCAAGGATTTTAAGCTGTGTTTCTTGAAACACATCTGAAGCTTAAGTTTTGCAAATATTAATTGTACATCATATGCATGGCACCGATCATTTGAAAAACACAACAAAAGAACCATGGAGTAAATAAAAAAGTGTTTATTAAATCTACATGCTTATTCATGTTCTCTCACCTCATGATGTATGATGTATGCTAAGCACATGTGATGCAATTTGAAAGATATATATATGATACAAAATTTGATTATCTATATCTTACTTCAGTGACGAATTATGCTCTCTACCTGCATAGGGTGATAACCCCTGAAGGGCTCTTCACGTGTAATTAGTTCCCACAAGACAACACCAAAGCTGTACACATCGGCTTTTTCGTCGTATGGAGCCGATTCTAGAACTTCAGGAGCCATCCATCCCCATGTACCCACCTACACATTGTTGAAGAAGCACTTCATATTTAACAAAGAGGAAACTGATATCATTTGGCTATTTCCACAAAATAATGAGCAACAACTGTAGGTTTCTTTTAGTCGGATTCTATCGTTCAGACCAACTAAGGCACTCTAAGTGTGGTAAAAGTCCGAAGATGGAAATGATTTTCCTTTAGGGCAATAATACGTAAAGTAACATGTTTTACCAAATTTGTTAGAACTGACGAAGAATTTAATCGCCTGATGAGGAAGACGGAACCTAAACTTCACATATTCGTGATGAGAGTGGAAGACAAAAGGAGAAAGGACAACGAATGTCAAAGACATATCAGAAGGTGATGTATGCTGATTTCCAACGGGCCATGAGAAAGACAATGGTAGATTTCAGAGAAAGAGTAACGTGGGGAGTGGAAGACTGGAATGAGGAAAGGCATTATACAAAAGGTGGATGCAAACTAAGTTTATCTAGATATGTACGAGGGATTTATTAGTAGGCCAAAATTTATTGCAGGCAAGCAGGACACCAATATACCTGGGTGTATGCATAAGAGCTTTGTTTAGTCATCGCCAAGCCAAAGTCCGAAACTTTGATATGCCAATCCCCATCTACTAGCAAGTTCACCGACTTCAGGTCTCTGTGAACAACGGGTGGGCTGCTCACAAGAACAGAGGTGCAAAATAGTCAAGAATGAAATCATACGGCTGGAAAAGAATTACTAGACTTTGTTGTTAACGATGTAGATAGCCATTCTAGGAGATGCAATGCCGCAGTATCATTGTAAGCGAAAAGAGGCTTCTGGACTTAGAAGTCAAGTGTACGTGTTAGACCCAGACACTTCAAAGAGGGTAAATAATCACTTGCGTGTGTGGAGATAATTCATTCCACGAGCAGCTTCAGAAGCCCAACGCACGACTGTGGCCATATCAATGCCAATGTTGGGGTTGTGAAGTACTCCATACAAACTCCCATTTGCAGCGAATTCCATGACAATGCATACATCTGGTGGAATAGTGCAAGCGCCCATGAATAGAATGATATTTGGGTGCCTCAGTCGTATGATCACTGCCACCTGAGGTTAAAAAGGGCGATATTATATACATTGAAGGAAATAGACACTGATGGATAAGAAGCAGAAAATAACACAAGCTCCTATAATTTCTTCCAACAGATAACTTAGGACACGGAAAATGCCAGGTTATAGGCCGTTTGTTTTCAATGCTGTGATATTACCTCATGACGAATATCCACAATTGCTTGTGTGTAGCTATCGTTATTTTGCAGCCGTTTCACAGCAACGTCTGTTCCTTGCCATGTGCCTCTCAAGACATCACCAAACGCACCCTACGCAGTGGTCATAATCTAATGTTGGATCCGCTTAGCAGTTACAGACGAGGATGTGCTTTTCATATGCTTATATAGTGAATTGATTAAGCATCAACATGAGTATCAGAATGTACCAACTTCGTCTGCTTTAATATAGTTTCTGCCTACAGCGGAGAGTGTATTGTTCTGAACGAATATAGCATTTGGTGAAATAGAGGAGCTTACAAAGTCAGAAAGGGTAGTGGGGCACTACCTGGCCTATTTTGGGTCCCAGTTTAAGCTCACAAATTGGAATCTCCCAATCAGCTGCAAATGGTATGTCTGACAAACTTGTTTTACGACTGTGTTCGCCTACACCTTTTTCCACCTTGTGCCCACCCCAGGCTGCAGCATCGGATATGGATGTCTCCAGCTGCCAGGATGCTGGCACTTTCATTGGAGGGCCTTGTTGTACAGAACTTGATGCTTGTTCTGATACTTGTGCTTCTCTACATGTACACTGTTCCTCAACAACCGTTTCCAATTCAATTAAGGGTGGCGTTTCTACGCGAGAATATTTAGGTTGAGCTTGTAGTTCAGGTGATTGGGTTTGGGAGTGCTGCATTTCAGAGGGTGGTCCTATCGTTAGTTGGGGAGAAGGTCTTACTTCCATGGCCAGGATAGCGGAAGGAGGAGACCCAATAAACGGATCTACTGGTCTGTTTACGGGAGATGGGCAACCCACGAGTCCAAACAGCAGAGGACTCGTTGAATCCAAATTGACAGGGCTCGAAAGGCTCTCGACATTATGTTTAGACTGCCCCGGAGCCCTCGGGGAAAAGAATTTCGGGCTGACAAGTCTTGGAAAAGGACTCCACTGATTCTCAACTAATTGTTGGTGGAGAAACACTTCATCGTCGAAGCTACTCCATGTGCGGCCAGTTCCCCGTGTGTGCTGAGGTCTCCCTGGGCGAACGATTGTTCCCAACTCCAAATGGAAACTGGTCCCGAAGTTTCCAGGAGGGGGTTCTAATCGAATTTTTTTTAGTCCTGTAGACGCTGTGACCCCAGATTCTGTTGTGGCAGCAGCCGCTCTTCTAGCCTCGGCCTGGCCTGGCAACATGAAGTACTCAAAATTAGCCTTCGAAAGGTGAGTATGGCCTGTTTCATAAGAATTTCGTTTCTTGATGATATGCTAGTTAAAAGTGAGCAAAAGCATAACACATCTGGAACAGCAGAGCCTACATATCTGTTCTTCCCTCAAAGATTTGCATTGATTGATCTGAGTGAAATATCAATGCACGTTTTGTTCACCATACTCAAATGGTCCAAGGTGTCCTTTCTGTTGCTAGAAAGATGCATACCTATGCTGGCAACTGAAACATACCTGCAGCAAATCTTTGAATGGCAGCTGCTGCAGCAGCGCCAACACCGCCAAGCACTGGCCCGCTGACGTCTTCTCTCGGGAGGACTTTGCCTCCTGCAGGACCTTGCATGGGAACATCCATATAAGAAAGGTCCATTTCTCGAACAACAAAATCTCCTTCAACTTCGAGATATTTAGATCCCTCTACAGGAACCGATTTTGGCCTTGCACCCTCCAGCTTTGATAAAGAATCCAGTTCCGCGATATGATTTTGATGAGTACTTGCATGGTCCGGGTACATCACATGATCTGTCTTTGGCAATAATCTACAACACAACACAGCAAACGTCATGAACTGAAATTATACGACAGATCTTGGAAGATCTAGGAAGACCAGTGTTTGGGTTGATCTTCGTAGATCAACCCCAAAGCTGTCTGTACGAAAACCAGTGAACATCAGATAAACACAAGTTAAGGGTATATTCTGACTCTCTGTTAACTATGAGTTATCATGCGAGGCTAGAATATGTATCACTGATCTTCGCCTTCCTACCATGGTTTCCTCCACTACCTGGAATGGTCCTTCTTGGCCTCCTCAGAAGGATAAGGTGGATTTTGAGGTAGATTTGGAGGTGTCACATTGCAAGTAATGGCATCAATTGTTTTGGCTTGCTCGAAGAATGTCCTCAGTACTTTGTGCTGATAGCCAAATTTTGGTGCCATTTCATTCAGAGCTGTCGTCATATGTGGACCGTAATTGCGTCCTCTCCATATATTAAACTGCGATTTCAGAAGAAAGCAGCAAATATCATAAACTAGATCCGCTTCTCTCAATACTGGAATGAGGACTGATACCACAAGCCCTATGGGATCAGTATCTCCTCCACACGTTGTAGAAAGGCCAGGTCCCAATGGTGCACTTGCAGTTCCATTTCTGGTGCCGGCATCTTTCGCTCCAAAAACAGCATACTTGTTTCTAAACAACGTGAAACCCTCTTCCAAAGTGCGTAGAATAAGATCTTGAAGAACTTGAAGACAAACTAGGGCCTCGGGTCTTAAGGGATCGGTAACCGTTTGTCCACTACAAGATGGTTGATCTTGAATAGCACCTATGTCGAGATAATAATTGTTTTCATAAGCCTGAAATCGGTGATGAAATGTTGCTTTCTCTGCAAGCATAGATGCATAAGCACAAATCAGTGGCCCATATGAGAGCGACTCTGATGCATTATCACCTGGAGTCTTGAATGTGCTCAATGTGTCAGTAAGAATGTGCAACCGGCTGTAACAAGCTGCACGACAGTCTGCAGGTCCTTGTTGCATGAGCTTGTGTATCGTGGCCAGAGCCTTCAGAGCAACAAAAGGCGAAGATTGAAGAGGACGTTTTCCAAGAATATTAAAAATCTGCAACCAACATCGTAATCTCAGTACATGTATATCCCCAGTTAAGCAACGAGAACCATTCTAACGTGTGCTTAACATATTAACCATGAATACACTTCTGACTGGAATGAATATGCTGAGAGTCATCACGAACAAACGATAATTTGACTATTACAGAGTACATCAAGGTATGGATGTCTATTCTCATATTTCTTGAACTCCAGATAGAGTGCTTGACCTTCAGTCTGTTATTGATCATTGATCCTCTATTTCCATCACAATCAAAGCCACGACAAAGATACTTGTACGTACCGCAGCTCCTCCAGAACCGTTGTGTTTCCAAGATGACAGCACAAGCTTTCGTAGGTACTTGGATTTCGGGGGAACCTCAGCTTTGCTGGTTGCCTTCAAAATCAGGGTTCTGTTTTTGAACCATTCCTTCAACCCAGAAACCCCTCCCACTCCACTGGTACCGGGAGTTGACGTGACTTCTTCCTTCAGGCACAGCGCACCGCTTGGTGACGACTCATAGTCAGACTTTTGAGCTTCAATAGCGGACTTCACTGCAGGAGACTTTGTGGTAATTGTGGTTTCTGCAGATTCTGAATAATTTGAAATTTGAGAATCACCAAAGTCATCACTAGAGCCATGTCCCTTCACAACATAACGGCTTGACTGAAAATTTGCAAACCCCTGTTCTTTTCTTGAAACAGAGCCTCCACTGTCAAAAGCTTCGAGCTTGATATACAAATCCCCGCTAAATTGTCTCCGGTGAAATCCTCCAGCTGTACTCCTCTTGCTTCTGTCCACTTCTGGCTTCTTCTGCAACGACGTCTGACCAAAGATTCCCTTTAACTCGTCAGTCTTGACAGGCCGTTGATCAATCAAGCTTAAGCGACTGAGGCGTGAGAATTGCTCCGTGAGCGGTATGGGCCGATCGCTCAGACTCTCGCACTGATCACCGAAGCACTTAGAGGACGGTGCATGTTGCCAAGATTCTCCTTCAGCTGTGCTGGAACTAAATAAAGTTTCACTTCTATTCATGTTAGCAACATTGCTTTCATCCTTGATGTAACGAAGTTTGCGCTTGGCACTTCTTTGTCGTCGTTTCTCAAACTCACAAGTTTCAAGGGCTGGAGGCATAACCTCAAGCTCCGGGGTTCCTGCGGCACTTTGATATACAACAAATCTGATGTTCCAAGAACGTTCCCTTTCCCATCATAGACCCGCTGTTTTGAATCATCACTTTCGTGTTTGCTTCATAACTTTTACTCACGAAGAATGAGAAAGAGGTGCGGTTGATAAACGAAACCCCACGATTGGAGGAGTGCAGCGAACTCCAAATTGAAATTCTCTTTTGTCCAGCACATTCCTTGATTCAGTTGTTCGGATCTTTCACCCGTAATAGCTATGTTGCAATCGAAACTCCAGACAAGGAATTTTCTCCTTTCAGTTTTCATACACAGAACGCTTGCTCTTCGTACTTCATCAAAGCTGGAATTTTAATCTTCTCCTTTTTAGAAAGAGCTCCGTACGATTCGTGTGGAGATGGTCGCAAATGCTGAGTAAGACTACTACGGTACTGTACCTAGGATGCAAGTTCTATCTCGGACAAACATAAACCTCTCCACCCTTATAGACAAATTCCTGACGGGAGAAGGGCATGAACTAACAGGACTTCCATGTTGTGATCAGCCGGGGCATGAGGGCGAGGGGTGTAAATGACTCGTGTAAACCACCAACTGGGCCGACCAAGTATGCCAAAACTTCCCTCGAGGGAAGAAGCCCGGCAATACCCATGCACAATACGCGCCTTACGTCATCGCACAACAGAATGCACAGTGCCAACTGACACGAAGCCAGAGACCCTAACTACGCGGAGTGCGATCAGTCCAAAGTTCTCGGACAATTGCTTGCGTTGATAGTTCGCCTTCAGAGGACTATGAAAGCTGAATAATGCAAATTAGGACTGACAGAGCTTCCTTCTAGATCTGTAGACATGCGTGAGTAGAAAATGCAGGAACACAGCGGACGTGCACGCACGTGATGCGAAACTTGAGGATGAGAGAGAAAAAAGCGCGAGAAGTCCTCGAGAGCAAACGACCCGACGAAGAAGAAGTAGGAGCACGTATAACGGTTGGACAAACAGACATCCAGCGAGAGAAAGAAAGGGAGGAAGACGGGCGGGGCGAGCAGTCGGGATCCAGAATCAGGAGGCGGAGCTGAAGAGAAGAGTACATGGGATTTTGGGGATCTCCGCGGGTCGTGAACGTGAAGCAGGTGAAGACGAAGCCAGGGAAGGGTTCGACGGGAAGCGAGTGAAGGGAAGGGAGCGAAAGATCAGAGAAGGGTAGTTTCTTCTTGGCCTCTCCTCTACCACAGTAGGTCCAGGATGCGCAGTGCGCTTGGATATGATCCAAACTCTTGACCGCCGAATTGCACTACAGTAGAGTACAGTATCATACAGCAAAGTCCAGCAACAGATCCTACCCAACCTCGAGATGTCGCCGTTGATACGACATCGAGGTCTCGTACCCCAAGGATGTGGATAAAGCAGCTCGGCGGGGCGGAGCTTTTAGTACAGTACCATACTGTAGGACGACGACCCCTGACGGTCAAGAGTTCAGTATGTACAGTATGTACTGCAGAGGTCAATCAGTTTCTGACAATTCAACCGTGACAGGAACACGTGGCTTGCAATCCGAGACGAGTCTGGTACTACTGAAAACTACATACCGTATCGCCAGACATTCTCTGGTAATTTCTTTTCGCATGCATCTTTGACAAGAAACTTCGCTGTAGCCCTCTTGAGCCGTCCAGCCATGCACCTCAAGCAATTCACATGTATCAGCGGCATGAGGCATCATGCGCTCCCTGTTCCTGGACACTCATGATTTTGTGAAATAACAAAAGTTTCAGCAAAAACAATGAACGTATCTTCGGGCTGGTTTGGAAACAAATATATTTGCCTCAATCTTATTGTTATTGCAGCCAGATTATTCGGAAGACTACAGCTTATGTGGAATCTGCAGTTTGACTGTTTTGAACTGCCTTCTTTTTCAGCCCCCCCCTGACGTTTTTTTTTATTATTATTCTGTATAACCACCGGTATACTTTGTTTTTTCCGGATTCAAATCGTTGAAAAACGAGATGCGGCGAGGAGACACCAAAGTGTGGTATCGCTTTATACCGTAAGGAACTAAATAAAACTTTGGAAGGGAACATGAAGAGTTTAAACCCCGAAAGCCAAGTCAATCACAATTGGTTGAATGTTCGAATGGTACGTAAGGCTGGATCCCAGGTTCGAGTACCCTAAGGGTTTTCACTAGACCCTGCATTATTGAGTTTGAAATAAATTATCATCATATCATAAAAAAAAGCAGAGAATGAAATTAGTTTAAGACTACGGCAAACTGTCCAAGTAACTCCGGCCGACAAGAGCTTGCCTGTGGTTGTGAATCGATGAAAGAGCTTACAAGAGAGTATCTACATCCGGTTGATGCGTCCGACAAGGCTCCAACTACCCAATGAAAATATCACTTTTGCAAATTTCCGCGAATCGGCATAGCAATCATTGGTTGTTTTTCACCAACTACAAAAAGTTTAGAATGCAATGACTTATAATGTACTTATTCCTCTGCGAAGGGGTTATATCTTTATTGTTGTGGCCTCTTGTACTTGATTCGCATATGATTTCTTTGGCCTGTGGCAAGCTTTATTGCTTTAGGGTCCTTGTTCATTGATGAGTTCTGCTTGTCACGGTAGCCTTTTCTATTCAAATCACTAAGGATTCGTTTACTTAGGTTTTTTATAATGTCAGTCACTACAATAATAAGCATCACTATCTATACTAAAAAAGGGTGATCTGGTATTCTTGAGTTCCCTAGTAAAATTACTTGTGTTTTTGTGACATGCTTATTTGGTGAAGTTTCATTAAACAGCTACTACTTTTAAAGTAGAGTTTACGTCCAATGGTCCCAAATTTTTAAGCTCGGGGTCCAAAGCCGCTACATTGAACATGACCACATAATGTGTACGATGTACATGAACTTTTGCCATGTAGTGGTACTTTTAGCTAGCTGGATATGTTTATAAATGTCACATACACCAATCATAACCTAGACTGCAATTTAGACCATTTGCAAGGAACTTGCTATTGCCCAAGTTGTAATTGGTAAAGTTTGAATTAAAATTTATTGGATGGCAGTTTTGAAACTTCAAACTTTGGGAGGGAATCGTCATAGATTATAAAGCTAGCGTAAATTTCTGGATATTTTGAATTTAAAATTACTTTAATTCGACTGTGTAATATATTTAATCTATGCTTGTGAGCAGAGCTTAAAGAAAACAATATATCAATAACAAGAGATAGTATGGACACTAATTTGAAGACAAATCATTTGAATGTCTCAACAATTCTAATATCAAAAAATAAGTGCAGATTTTTTCTCCGTATATAATCCTTAAAAAATAAAACACACAAAATATCTCCAATTTTTATCGTCCTCATTTTTCATGGATTGAATTTATTACCAGCACACAAGTTTATAAAATACATATCATTCCAAATAAATAATTAAAACTAATTCAGTGTAATTATATAAATTGATGATGTGATATACTTGAATAATCAATAAATATTATCAAACTTGATATTATTTATCTTCAGCTAATATAATTAATACTTTAAATTTCACCACTAAAAATTTATCAAAACCTTATATTTCTTCCGTAAACTTTCTTTGTGCCCATTGACATACTCGTGATCGATCAAATCTAATATGATCTGATCAATATATATGATCAAATTTTTTGATAAATACTTGTTACTGAATTATTTTATCATTGATTTGTTGATTACTTATCATCTCATATTCATCAATTTAAGCTCAAAGTTTTTAGTTTTTTTTGATGAAATTTCCTATCATAATGACTCAAAGATAATACTCTTATCGATGTGTGAAATCTTTTGGGAAGTTTTGATGAGAATGTGATACATTCTTCAAAATTATGAGAATTTTTTTAAAAACGTAGTTTTGTATCTAAGGAGTTTTAAATGTTTCAATTTCAAGGAAATTTTCAATATTTGAGATACATATTGCATAATCTTCTCTAAACATAAAAAAAATTGCAATTTGAGATTGAAATCTAAATTTTTTTTCACAAGAAAAAATTTATTTTAAAATAATTACATCACTATTTACATACAAATCACCTCATTTCAATAAAAAGATGCATATAAATCTATATTTAGGTACTCAAAATTTTTATTGATGACACTAAGTTGAATAAAAACCAATATATTTTTCTCTTAACAAATCTATAAAAAAACGGATGGATATATCAGAAAAAAATTCATTAATGTAAAAATTTAATATAAATTATTTCAAAAATTCAGAATAGTTAAAAATTGTTATTCATTTTAAATGCATAAGCTATGATATTCTTAGATATTCTGATATCTAGATTTTCTTACCATAATAAAAATATCTGGAAACAAACTGATGCACTAATTTTTTTAAAATAATTAAAATTCTGTTATAGTTTTTATTCATTGATAGAACATCTAGACACAAATAAAAAAGTGTTGGTTTATATAAAAATTTTGTAATACAATGAAGGCAAATTTTTTCAATTAAATCATATTTTTAAAAAGTTGTGTAGAGATTCTTATTTTGTAATTTTCAAATATCATTTGTGACGGTCAAACTGTTTGAATTATGCCAGTTTAAAATCCTTTCAATTTTAAAATTTCTCTATTCTTCTTTGAGATTTATCATAGATCATAAACAATGTATTATGTCAGGTATTTAACATCCAAAAATACCAAACAAATTAGTCAAACGCAATCACATACATATATACAGAAATTGCACACACATTGACACAACATCAGACTTTCCTGGTTCACTTTGCAGACTAGTACATGCAATCCAAGCTTACTAAGGAAAAATTCTAATAGTGTCATGAAAAGATTTTGTAAGCTCTATTATTTAGTTACAACTTAAACAACTTCACTACCTGAAGTCAAAATTATCTGAGTTATCACAAGACATAAATTAACTTTCTACCTTAACTCAAATTGTGAAAAACGACATCTCAATAACCTATATAAAAATTTCACAAGATATTCTAGAGTGAAACCTAACATAGAACTATCTTTATACTAAAGATACCTAAAACTAAGTTGTAGCCAAAACAAGATAGTGAACAAATGCATATCAAATGAACAAAAATTCTAGTAAACTCTATTTAATCTCCTCATGCAAAACTTGTAAAGCAACAAATTGTATCCAAAAACTTTCAAAAGTATGATTTTGATCAATGCATATCTTGATTGAATTTAACATCAATTTTGATTAGCTCAAGCTTCTTATCATAAACTTCATCCCTAATAAAGTTATACTTAATTGATATGCTTTAGTTGTTTTTTATCACTTGACCTCTACAAATCAAAATGATGATTGACAATTTTTTATTCAAATTTCATTTCATTTCAGTTATAAATTTATTAAACAATATGGTTTCATTTTCTTCTTCAAATTTATCTAGATATTCAGCTTTTGTTATGAATTAAGTTGAATAATGTGTAGACACAAATTTCCAATTTATACTTCTTTAATCAAGTGTAAAATTATTCAATTTTTAGAGTTATTCTTGTTCACATGTCGTACATAATGAACATGCATGTAGGTAAATTTTTTTTAGACTACAAGGATTTAAAATTGTTTAATAAGTTATTAAATATAATATCATAATTATTTGTAGTTTTTAAATAATTTAGAAATATGCTTCATATGTCTTTTTTGAATTTGTCATATGTTTATTTATCATGCAAATAGCTAGAATAATAGTAGACTTTGTGCATATCATTAAATATATGAGGCCGCTCATTGCTTTTTCATAGTAAATTGATGAAATTTTTTAATGAAATTGATTGAACATTGAGTTATTAAAATTTAAGATAGAAAATTAAATTCTTTTTCGTATTAGATTTTATCAAACTTAAATCATAGAACGCTACACTTTGATTGATAACTAATTATTAAAATTCTTGAACTCTTAGATATTAAAAGAATAGAAAAGATTTTTCTAATATAAAAAATACGATAAAAAAGAACTATCCATTTTTCAAACATTCATCAATTGTCTTTGATGTAATATTTAAATCATATATTTGACATCATAGTTCTTATTTTAATCAATTCATGTATTTTAGAATTAAAAAAATCTCATCACATGATATATTTGACATTCCTTACTAACCTGATTAATCTCATCATATTTCCAACACATTTTTTTATATTATTTTTAGACTTAAAACCTAAACCTTACACCCTAGATTCAAAAGGGTTTTGATACTTGTCTTTTCAAAAACTATTACCAGTCTTGAGTCATATTTAGTGTTGCATTGGATGAAGAGGATGAAAGAAATGTCATCATCATTATCTTCTATAAGTAATTAATAAAAAAATATAATTTTATTGTAAGTGATTATTTTTTTATCAAAATAATTTTTTTAATGTAATAATGACTTAAAAAATGCAAAGAATGAGCAATACTAAAAACCATATTCTTATCCATTATTTATTTCAAATCACTTTGAAGATTAATGTCAAGATCATGAAAGTCATCAATGTGATTTTTAATCTTTGTTGTAGGTTTTTTCATGTTGAAAAATTTGAACTAATTAGTTTCAACAAGCCATACACCTCTTTGCAATGAAATTATTGCTCAAAAGTTAAAATAATAATAATACAATCATCATATTCATCCACTTGTATGACAATCAAAGGTTGCAAATATGTTTCGGCAAGGTAAGTTAAAAGTCACCCAGGTAATGTATGGTCCTTTATCTTTATCTTACCTTTTACCTTACTTGCACCATTACTATTTACTTTTACTTTTACCTTTACCTAATGACAATTAACCCTATCGGATAATCAATTAAACTTTACCTTTGTTCTACCAGTAAACTTACATATAGTCTAGCCAATTTACCGGGTAATCCTAAAAGGTTCCCTTACCTTGCCAAATCCTAGTTGCAAATATGATATAACAATATTCAAGACTTTTTTTTGAAAATCTTTTCAATCATTGTTGTTAAAGGTAAAAACTATAATCTTTATATATATCTCACATTTGTAGTTTTTTATTTGCTTTTGATTGTATTTTGAAGTCGATAGTGATCATACCTATAGTATTTGACAATCTTTCTACTAATAATTCACACATAAAAGTGTTGAAGATCAACCTAGCTCCCATGACCTTTGTGTTTGACTTCTTGCTCCTTGCTTGATGCCGTTGTTGATTATTTATCAAACCATCAAGTGACCGCAATCTTGCTTGTTGATTTCTTATTACAACATAACAACTTGCAATCTGACATAATAACTTGTTCACATGATATGTCATCAACATATATTTATAATCTACCGTCAATCTTGTTGACTTACAAGAGAACACAAAAAAAGTGTTGAAAAGTGATAAATTAAGATCAAAAGGATTTGTAAACAAAGATCACGCATTTGAAATTTTTAGATCTTGTTGTGATGTCCTACTAATTTAAAATCGTTTGGAAACTTTTTGCTTGAATCCAATTTGCACTCATCTCAAGTTTTGTTTGTCTTATCTTTGTCTTGTCATTCATCTTGACATGGAGACCTCAAAGTAAAGACTTTTGCGTCTCAAGTCTAGCTTTGCTTTTTATCTTGATTTTCGGTTTCAATGTCTTTCTTTGACTGAAGCGTGAATCGTTAGCCCCCACGATTCAACTTTACAATCTGCCAACATCAATAATGAGATAAACCTCCTTTTGTACCTCGTCCCGATTTACACTTTTGTTGCCGAAGAAATTGTTACCAATATTTTTGATATCAATTTCATCAAGAAATAAACAAAAATCCACATACCACCATCAAATAATAGACATCGCCAAGAACATTTGTGGTTTTCCACTCTTGAGTTGCATCCAAGAGAACAACTAGTAAAAAACCTATACATTTTGCTGTGCAATCCGAGTCTAGTACTCCCAAGTTTTGAGAATAGCAAAAACCCTAGATCTCACCTTAATTAGGGTTAACTCTAAACTAACTCTAGTCCGAGTTAGGTTAACTAGAGTTTAACTTGAAACTTGAGTTAATATTAACATGATTATCATAAAACTTTTTGCACCTACGTGGTATTCGAATTTACACAAGTATCAAAAAGGTGTTGGCGATGGAGCTGAAATTTATGGAGGAAATCATTCATAGTTTTGTTAAGCTCAACTAAATCACTAGATACTCGATGTTTTTTTGCCTCACTTTTTATTTTCTCTATAAATAGGCATGCATAAATGACCCATAACCCTCCATGGGAATCTCGTAAACGGGTAACGGGAAAAACGGTTAGGGGATCTGAAAAGGGAATCTCGTAAAAATGTTTTGTGGTTAAAGTGAAAAACAGTCATGGGATCCAGAAAAGTCACCCCGAGAAAAGTCACCATGTCTACTGGTCTTCTCCAAGTTCACAATCGACATTGGAAGAAAACCTTTAGGATTCCTGTCAGTGTATGAAAATCGAAAGTTTTTTATTTTCTGTATCTTTCAAAAAATTGTTTGAAGACCTGTTCATATAACCTGTAAAACACTTGTGAAAACTGGGTTGAGTTTTGTGGCAATATTGGTCCATTATTTGATGGGACTATGTCGAAACCCCCTACATTAAATATTTAAGGACAGAAGATTACTGAATGGAAGATTTTTCGAATCTCGGTATTATCACACGACGGAGCAGAACCAACAAGAAGGTTTTGCAAAAAATAGCGGATGTAACCACAAACAGCATTTTGAGCTTCATTGTAGTCAGACTTGGTGCAGCGAGTCAAAATTTGATTCTGCGTAACAAGAGATCAGGATATTCTAAAAGTGAACAGGTAAACTTCTTCTCTTATAAATGTGAAGAGCTTGGAACATATTTTGTAATCAGTGAACGAGATCCTCTAGATAATCGGGGGAGGCTGGATGCACTCCGACAGTGGAAAGAGAGTGCGAAAAGGAGGTGGTTACATCACAGAGCACCGTACTTCACTTAAAGGAGAGGTCCCGTTGAGTCGTCAGGGATCTTTTGTATCTTGACACTTTATTGTCCAGGACTGACTCGACGAAAAGACCACATTTGCCCAAGCAGGAGGTCGTGGACTCAGCAGTCTCAGCAGTTTCAGCTCATGCGGATGAACCAAGTGGATGCGTCTAAACAGGGTCCAGCTGGAGGCTTGAAAAATGGGCCGAGAGGCTAGCCAGCGATTGGTAGAGGAGAAGAGGTGCAGACGAGCCGCAATGCAATGCAATGCAATAGGAGGGCGTTCGATCTCGTTTTGGCTGGGGCTGGAGTGCCGCCGAACTTGGCCTTTGGAGTGGTTCGCTCATTGGTCCTGGGACTCCAGTTGCGCCCGGTAGATCTTACAGCATGGAGGTACACCTCCGCAATCCCTCGTTTGATTCGGCTAAAGGGCGCGGATTCCCCGTCAACGAAAACTGACACAGGGCCGGAAAAGAAGCCTTCCTTCTTTAGGGTACAGCTCCGAGTTTTATGTAGAGGGAAACAAAGAGACAACGGGGAACATGTCCATGAAGGCATAAGGAATCCATTCATGGCGCATTGACAGTGCTGCAGTAAATAAGATTTAATTATCAGCTTCTGCTCTGTACCCGATGCATCCGGATTCCTGATGGAGGGAAAAAGGAAAACGTGAGGGGCCCTGCATGGCTTAATGTGGGTTCTATTCTACTGAGCTCGGGGGTCTGGGTGTGAGATAATGGTTGCAGAAAGCCTACCCTGTAGGCAGAAAGCAGAACTATCCTACCACCATCTGCACCATGTAAGGCAGATGGTGGGGCTCCCCAAGGACGAACACAATATTAAAAGCAAGGCGGATAGATGTCGAGATATGGAGCTAAGCAGGTGAACATGTTCTCGTAAGGTTCTGGTCACTTGTCTGTAGCGCTCAGCTTTCCAGACACAGAGCCAGCCAGCCGAAACCCAGCCCTGGCAATCTGATGATGACCGTAGGCACAGGCAGTAGAATAGGCATGTCTCCCTTGCAGCCTCGGTATGATCCCCAACCCAGCCATGAACCTCGGTCTGGCGAGTATTGTAAACGGTAAATAAACGGATGATGATGGGAAAATGTACTCATGAAGCCTGTGCTGCTAAAAGTTCTGTGAAGAGCGCACGCCTGGATGGATCTGTGGTTTTGACTGCGGGAGAATGTGAGTGGAAAGAGTGGAATGACATATGATGAGTGGGTTCCACAACGGGCGAAAATGTGGTAGTGCGGACCAGTGAATGAGTCGAGAGTGGGCTACAGGTGGGGGTCGAGTTTGTGAGGGAGTGGCTGCCACAGAACTGGGAGGAATCGCAGAGGCCCACACTGCGAGTTTGGTTTACGGTGGATAATCCAGTGCCAGTCTCCTTCGCACGAGGAGGAGGAAAGGGAAGAGTACGAGGGCGTGATTTGTGCAATTAGACGTGTGAGTCCGTGGGATTTGTCGGATCTCACAATTGATTGCCAACTGGGTCCGAGCCATCTTTCGTGGGCAAGACTCAACTGTAGACTGAGATTCCTCTGAACTCTGATGGTAGAAATGTTCAATGCGTTTATCGGAAAGAACCTGTCGCCTGTGCTCTGGGCACCCGGATACGAAACCAGTCTATGAAGAGACTAATCGTGCGGAACTTGAAGGATCCGGTAAGACTTAGTCCAAAGCACGCATAGTATGATCTGAATGCACGAGTTTCTTGGTGTCATAAAATACAGACTGCATTGCATTGTTCGTTTGAAGATGATTCTCGTGTCGGATTGCTGTCAGATGTAATATTGTTTACACCTTAACTTCGCTGATCGCTAGATTTCTGCAAGCATCGCTCGCTTTGACCCGGAGGCAGATATAAGCTGCCCACTGCTGTCAGATTCTTTGCTGGCTGGCTGCATTGGATGGAGCAACTCGCCATTGCTCTCATCCTGTGCGCATGAAGCCACCCTCACTAGCAATCCCTTGAAAGAACTACCTCAAGTGATCTTTTACTCTTCTCTCATCAAGGATAATGCGCAGAGTGGTTAATCACTTGTTCAAGAAGTGATATAAAATTTTGCTGAGGCTGAAATTCTTGATTTATTCAGCATTCTTAGCTTCCACGACAGAGATTACCTTTCTGAGATGAGCCTTGTTGTTTCATGCTTTGACAACCAGGGACGTATCGAAGATTGGACACCCACATTCTTTGACAGACGCAGGCAATCGAGAAGTCGTCCTCGCGAATGAATCAACTCCAGGTGCAGTAACACCAGAGTTGAGCGACCCGGCCTTCTGAGTATTTGTACAAAATCCAAATAAAGAATAGCTGCGGGTTAGTTTTTCATCGAATGGTTCAGGATAGCCGTAGTTAGCCATTAGGATCAAATATCTATATATTCAAAAGTGGGCTCAAGTATGACAGTCTACACCAGCAATTCGCCGAAGAAGGCCCATGCCCACAGGTGGTCAGATACAAGGCGGCGGATCTTTCACAAGAAATATGCTTGTCTCTGGATTCTTATTGCCTTACTTCCGTTTCTTGTGCTCAGACTGGTCTTCTTTTACGCCTCACCTTTTCTCTTATTTGGAGCACCAGCTGAGAATGAAGCAGAGCTTAGAACTGAACTGGAATTCCCATCTCCTGGTGTTTCTCGTTCCGTTCATAAGCAGTCAGCGCTCCCACCTGATGTGAATGCTGTAAAATCACAACCAAATCCTGAACCCTCACCATCTCCGCACACGGAATCAAAAGCTCCCATTGTAGTTCAACCACCAACCGAAGCTGACGCCGATGACCAGGAATCCGAATTGGTAGAGCTTACTTCGTCTTCAGCAAAGGAGGACGTGGAGAAGGACGAAGATCTTGGCTTGCCCGAAGATAATGAGAAGAAAGCAGCCGAGACTTGGCAAGCACCTCCTGAAAATACGAATGTAGACGATAATCAAGGGATAGAACAGGTTACGATCAGCAACGCGTCCGCATTGGCGCCTGCAGGTACTGCTCTATCTTTTTTGTGTGAATGCTGTCTATTATCATGTCGATCACCCATCCTAACATTTTAGTCAAGAGAAAATTCCAGATAAGGTTGGTTCTAGCGGTAAGAATACACACTTCATATCATCCGGTTATAAATCACGAAGAGCTTATTACCATCATGAATAATGCCGTAGGCGGAAATACAATGCGTGGCATGTGCAAGGTTTTAGTCAATCTAAAATCAATAAAATCCTTGAACCTCTAAGTGCATCTTCTTTTCTTGTAGTTTCAATTTCCATCTGCGGCGGCGGTTTGTTAGTTGTCAAACCTGCAACTCCATAGGTTTGCGTCACAGCATGTATAGATTGAATTGTAGGGACAACATGCTACACCATATATCTCCTATAGCAAACTGATTTGAGCCAGCGAATGAACAAAATGAACAAAATGAACAAATTGTACAGATGTAAGATCAAATTTTAACTTCTTGAAGCAGATATTTATTTATCTTTTGTGCATGAGCATTTTCTTTGAATAGAATTACTCCCTCGTTCAGTTCTTAGTTGTGTTGCTTTTCAGGCTATAGGAGTTCAGACTATTCGTAATCCATCAGTTCAGTTTCCCATCCAATTCGCCGCTATGTATGGTCGTTATGAACATTTCTTGCTTTCTCATATATCATATTAAACAACTAATAACAAGCGCAATTATTTGTTCTTCTTTCTGTAGTTGTGATGTGTGTTGATGGGTTTTCGTCTTGATCAAAAAGTTAGATCAAGTGTCAACCTTCTCCTTTCAGATTGTGAGAAGTATCAGCTTTTTCCTATAAAATGATCTGCCAGTTTTAGTCACCCTTGAATAGGAATGTCCCATTTGATTTTTCTCGTCTTAGTTTGCCATGGCAAAAACGAGTTGTAGTATTCGGTCATGACAATGAGCAGAAGGGTTTGTGCATCAGCTCCTGGAGAATGCGACCTTTATGATGGAGATTGGGTGTATGATCCTGAGGGCCCATTGTACACAAACGCTACTTGCTTCTATATGCAAGGTCATCAAAACTGCATGAGGAACGGAAGGCCGGACTCAGCCTACATGTATTGGAAGTGGCAACCACGATTCTGTGAACTGCCTCGGTTTGATGGCAAGGCTTTTCTGACCAAGTTTTGGGGCAAGACGATTGGTTTCGTGGGAGATTCTCTGTCACGTAATCAGATGCAGTCTCTTTTGTGCATGCTATCGCAGGTACTTACATCCCAACAGCTAAAGCGAAATTGTCCATGTTCTACTCTAGATTAGCAATTATCGTTCTTTACTATGCTCTCCACTGCTTCGGCCGTCTACTACTGGCACACCTTCTCGCCATGCATATGTAATGTGTGAAGCTGTTTGTCGATAGAGTCAGTTTGCAGCTATTGCCTTCCTAGAGTCATTGGCACATTCTTCCGACATGAATCTGTAGGTCCACAGCTTATGTTCTTCACAATGGTGTTTTTGTTAATTTGAAATAATCATGTTTATTTACCCTATGTCATGCGGTTTTAATCCCTAAATTTCTGGCTTGTAGGTGGAGATTCCTGATATGGTGTATCAAAATGAAGGTGACAAGAACGTCCGGTGGCTGTTCAAGAAGCATCAAGTCACTCTAGCAACGATATGGTCTCCTTATCTCCTCAAGGAAACGCTTGTAGAACTTAAGGGGATTGAGGAAGGTCAGAGCAAGCTATTCACAGACACCTTAGATGAGGAGTGGACGTCTGTAATGAAGGACTTCGACGTCATGGTTCTCTCTATTGGTCAGTGGTACTTCAAGTCATCTATATACATAGAAAACGACGAGATTATTGGTTGCCATTATTGCCCAGGACACAATTACACAGAGATTGGGTTCTTCCAAGCTTACAGGAAGGCCGTTCGGAGTGTTCTGGACAAGGTGACCAAAGATTACCAAGGCCTCGCTATTATGAGCACGTTTGCCTTGGAGCATTTCGAGAATGGATCTTGGGATAATGGTGGAGCCTGCAGAAGGGAACAGCCCCTCAAGAAAGAAGAATGGCCCCTACAAGGACTGAACTACGATATGCATGAAATCGTCATGCAGGAGTATCAAACTACCGTTCAAAGGAAGAAGAGACCGAACAAGAAGGTGCAGTTAGGACTTCTGGATGTGACCAAACTGTCATTGCTACGAGCTGATGGTCACCCCGGTCCATTTCGTGATTACCATCCATTTGAAGGCAAACCACCGGGCACTCATGTTCAAAATGATTGTCTGCATTGGTGCTTGCCTGGGCCCGTTGACACTTGGAACCAATTTCTTGTGCAGATTGTTTCTTCTCGCCTAAGGATTTAACCATCTGGTTCTTCTTCAACATTGTCCACGTAAATACGATGGAGATCGATCCCAACAATGTCAGCGTCCAGTTGTGTTACGAAGTTTGAGATCATCAAAAGTGAAGGCAACTTGACACAGCTTTTCAAGATCCATAACACATAGTCGAAGTGCAGATGATCCTTCGGTGTTAACACAATCTGGGAGTACAGTACGGATGATGTTTAGTATCAGCTTCATCCATCTTTGTGTTGTACCTGCAGCACCTTCCACTTCATGGTATTTGAGCTCCTGCGTTGTGCGAACGAGTCCACCGCACCCACTGCAGTCTCTCGTCAAAAAAGTGTGAGCTCCAGTGAGCTATGATGAGACCAACGGGAAAGCCACTGGAGAAAGACATCAATATATTGCACCATCCACATCATCTGGAAGTTCCCATGTAATTAACAGCCGACAGACAGACAGACAGACAATAACATATCCTGGTAGCACATGGCTTTGATCTTCTCAAAACTCATACCCTTTAGAATATAACAATTTTTCGCTCACCAAGCTTGTTAGTTCTGCGCCAGGATGACAGGGACTACTTACAACAAAGCTTTCAAGCTCGAACGCCCCGCATAGTGAGGAAGGCTCCATGCGCCTCAACTCGAAGATCTGTTTAGCGCATCAACGCACTGTCAACCTGACGATTATTCGGCGGGCGTCACGGGTGTTAATACGCTAAACAGGAATTCACTGATGTCTAGCGAACGAGTTGTGTTTTTGAATGTCGCTCGCTATCTTAAATCAAGGACTAAGCTATTGCTCAGTCCACCTTGTCGAAACATGTTGAACATGTTTGTTTCATTCGTTTCGTCTTTCATTTGTGTGACGATGTATCGGAAGCAATGATATCAAACGGTCGAAAGAGTCCCCATGAGCGAGAAGGGGAAATGAGGAGGAACACGAACGAAGACAAGGAAGACAACCTTGTTGTTTAATGTAACCCCTTAGGGTGCAAAAAAGTTTCTTCTTACACGATGTGGACAAGTCCCCTTGGTGAATGGCCATGTGACAGTCTGAATGTACTGTAACATACCAGTAAGTCTACACGAAAGGCTTGACTGAGAATGGAGCTTAGTTTACTATATCTCAAGGAACTTCATTAGATGACTTCCAAATCATATTACACCATGTCCCATGCCTACGTCCGTCATGAGGATATCAAACATCGGCTTCTTCTCAGATTGAATATAAGGTTTCATAGAAGTCCGATTTACACACTCTTTCACTTCAACTTTCACACAGCGTTTTAATTTCTGCCAGTCGCTTTCGTTATCCGCCGGAACTACCCGTCAAGTATACAGGAGCGCTCCATAAACGAGATCTGTGTCCATGTATCCATCTTCAAGAAATAAGATGAATATACAAAATATATTTCATACAAAAAAACACAGAATTCTATAATTTTTGTTTGTAACCTTGGATGTGTAAGAGTATAGATTTCAAAATGGAAAAATTTCTTGTATGAAGTGAATGCGAGGCAATGAAGATTGTGGGGTTTCTAATGGAGAAAATTCGAGGCGCGTTACGTTCACAACCAATGATATCATGAAACTAAAGCTGGCACACGTACCTGGTTGAGAGGATGCACAATTCAAAAGCAGTATGGATTCTTCTTGCAGTGTCAATAGCATGAGCATTTTGTGAAGACCGAAAGTCAGTCGCCAGCTTCGCATCAATAGTATGAAGACGTTATGAATCATCATTATACAAGTTAGTGTACGAATTGGCGACAATCTGCTTCTGGCACTTTTGTGGTTTTGGTGTCTTCTGCATTTCTACAGTATACTATTGCTTCAGTTTTGTACCTTAGAATATATGTGTTATTCAAATATGCGTTGGACCCTGCACAAACCATCGAGAGAGGTGCACAGATCAGATACATGCGCTTTCAACAATGCCAAGTGGGTGATCGCAGAATATTGGATACAAAGACGAGCATCTCACTGCAGAAATTAGCATCCCACTAGATTAACAGAGTCTATCTCTACAAATAGCTTGACTACTCCTAATCTTCATCTACTTCCGGCTCCAGACATATAAAATACTGGACATCAAATAATTTTGGTCATTGCAGGTGTCTTCCAAGATTGGATGGCTCAGTAGTAGCGCTCCTTACATGGTCAAGCTAATCACAAGCTTCAATAATACATGGTCAGTCTTACAGAAGGGAATTCGGCAACTTTGTAGTAACTGCCATCTTTTTGTAATGTTCCAAAGTGAACATCCTTCCTAGGTTCTGGGTCGCTCAATTACGCCCAACGAGGTCACAGATTAGCTCGAATTTTGAATATTTGTATCAAAGCATGCACCTTCCTGTGCCCGAAACAGGTTTATATTGAGCGAGCTACCGAGAGTCATGTCAATCGCCGAGGATCAGTACTGAGACACTTCATACTACAAATTCCAGAGAGTTTGTGGCAGGAAGTGTTCAAAAGTTCCGGAGAGAAACTCCGCTCTAGTTAACTTCATGCCTGCTGTAGCACTAAGTCATCAAGGAGATACAACTGCCACATATATAGGGAGCGGTTAGTTGTCATTCACTTAGGGCTAATTAATTCTCACTCTATTACAGGCTCTTTTTTGAATGGTGGATGTTGGGTTATAGGTTCCTCGGGTGAGAAACAATCAACAAATCGCGTATACTAGGGTGAGGGTTAGTCAGCCCTAGGTGAAGGATAACTAGCACTCCCCTCTATATATATATATATATATATATGGTAAATGGTAATAGATCAAGCCCGGGGGACCCAAAGGGTCAAAAGGCTGAAAAACACAATACAAGCGAAACAAGGGAAAAGACCCCAAAGGCCAAACCCTAGCTAGTGCCAAGAGCACTAGAACGATAATTAATAATGTCCATAATATAACAATCTAAATCAAAAGGAACTAACTGTAACAAAGAATAAAAATTCTCTACATCTATATTATGAGTCACTCTAATCTCTGCATATCTAGTACAAGTAAGAAATACATGCTCTTCATCCTCAACTTCTCTTCCATCACATAGCCTACGAATACGTTCACTCCTATCAATATTAAGCCAATGTCCTTCCTCAATTCCTAGTCTATGAGATCCAGTTCTATACCTAGCAATAATATGACGTAAGGACGTAGAGATTCCTACAAGTAGGTAATCCTGTTCACAATAAACAAGCATAGGATTCACATGAAGTTGATAAAACTGCATCTTGGTGCCGCGCTTGCTCCAAATAATGTTCAGAAACTCCTCCTTTAGACGTTCACGTAGTGCTATAGGTTGTAGGTCCCAATCGCGTTCCGTCACATTCCACCTCAAAGACCAAGTTATCACATCCGCTAACCATCCTTTGGCACGTGTGGCACTCAAAGCCTGAGGAGGAAGGCGAGAAGCATCAAGAGATCTCACCCTTGTGATGTAAGTGATGGTCAAGTATAGAGCTTCAGCCTCTAGAGGTAAACAACCTGTTTCCGCAAGAAGAATAGCATATGAGGTTTGGTTTCTCACACCCAATTCTTCTTGTAGAAATATCTTCTGCACCCTCTCCACACGCTCCCATCCTGTCTTCTTACAACCAGGACCCCACACTTGGGTTCCATACAATACTACCGGCAACACTAAGCTTCTGAATAAAAATTTCCTAAGACTCCAAGACACAAGATGAGCCCTTCTACACCGATTTAGCAATGAATATAGAGCTTTGTAACCACCTTCTACTCTCTTTTGCACACAAAGTGCTCAACTATAATCATTAGAAAAATCAATGCCTAGATATTTATAACTCTTCACCTCTTCTAATTGTAGATCTTGGTAATAGAAGGAAAACTTGGATCTAGTGCCCACTATCATGACTTTGGACTTCTCTATATTTACCTCCATCTGATTTTGGGTACAAAAGCTAGCCAAAGTGTATAGGTGTTTCTGTAAACTAATTGCATCACGTGCTAGTAATATGATATCATCTGCATACAAGAGAGCTTTGATAACAAAGTTTCCAAGCTTGACACCTTCACTATCACATGCCTCCAACCACTCTTCGATATCATTTATAAAAACTCCAAATAGAGTAGGAGAGAGAGTACAACCTTGAATCACTCCAATGGTACTCAAAACCTCTTAAGTTTGAGAAGTGTTGATCTTGGCTCGAACAGATTGGTAAAGCGTGGCCACAGCTGCTAGAAGATCTGATGGTACTCCAATGACTTGCAGCCTTTCCCATAATAGCTCACGAGGTACGGTGTCAAAAGCTTTCTTAAAATCAATGAAGGCGCAAAACAAAGCTTTGCCGTTGCCCTTCGACTTCTCCCATAAAACACGCAAAGCCAAGATATGGTCAATGGTGTTGTATGTGGGGCGAAAGCCTGCTTGAAACCGCGCTCTCTTTCGATGAGATTCAGTCCATGTGCTCAACTTTTACTCCACCAATTTGCCAAACAACTTGGCAAAAACACTATCCACCATGATAGTGCGATAGTTTGTCTAAGTCCTTCCTTCCTGACTTGTGAATAGGCACAATCTTTCGTAATGACCAAGTTGAAGGAAAACCATACATAGCTGCATTCTCTAACGCTTTGGTGAGTCTCGGTCCAATAAGATCTCCTCCCCACTTCAAAAGTTCAATAGAGAGACCGTCCAAATCCTCCGATTTACCATTTGCTAATTTTCTAACTTGAGTCATCACCTCTGATTCAAAAAATAAGCCTGATGTTCCTTCACAACAAGGCATTGATGCAGCGTTGGGAAAGAAATAAAGCTTTTCAGCAAAGTCAATCAAACTCTTGGGATCAAGAGTAGGTTTTAAAGACCTTACAGCTAACCGTCTCCAAAAGGATTTGGGATTCTCCATCAACTCCTTTGTCAAGGATTCCTGCTTCGTCCTCAAAAAAGCTCTTTTTTTAGACTTCACCAAGTCTTTGTAAAGCCTTGTCAAGGTAAGCCGACTTTGGAAATCCAAAGACTTGTCAACTGATCTCATACTCGCTTGCTTACAATCCAAGTCAAACCATCCATTGCAAGGAAGCCCCCTAGCTCTTCGATTCTTGTGCCGCAAAAAGAACTTAGAAACAGTGTCTTTGAGCAACTCTATTAATTGCCCACTCGCTGTATGTGGATCAAGGCTCCATGAAGTGTGAGTCAAAAGGTTTTGAAAATGTAACATGTACAACTTTTTCTTACTAGGATCTAAACGAAACTTGGGAGAAGCTAAAATAGAATGGCATGGAGAGAGAAGGATTGTTTTTGATAACAAGAGAGTAAATAAGAGAGGTGCATGATCTGACTCTGGCTGAGGTTCTAGAATATCAAATTTCGAAATAAGAGAGCTATGAGTGGCTGAGGATAGAAGATAATCAATGGTGCTAACACCTGTAGTAGAAAAGCACGTATTGGAAAGGGAGTTGGGAAAGAGAGAGATACCGTTGAGAACTTTCAAATTACATGTGGCTCCAAAGGTTAGAAAGTGTTCTATCAAAGGATTTGTACAAATATCAGAAGACTTTCTACACCACATACTATCTTCAAGTTCTTCAAAGGAGGGAGAACTCAAGAGATCACCAACTTGGGTAAATTGTGCACAACCTATTCGAGCATTGAAATCTCCAACCAGAAAAACTTCACCTTTGCTCTGACAATTGAGAACATCTCCTATAAGTCGATGGAATGGTTGACTCCGATTGCAAGTGCGTGTGGAGTAGATAGGCATGGACAATGGTGCAAACAAACAGCCAAATAACTATAAGATACTCCAACCAAACCAAGACGAAGGCAATGATATTGACCTCCAATATCCTGACCTTCTAAATGTATCAAAGGTAGAAATTGAGATCTGATGAAAGTAGCAATACCGCCATAACCTCTTCCAGCTCGTTGACTTCTCTGATTCCAAGT